TGTCAAAACTACACCATGTTTAGACTACATAGAACATCAAAGAATGAAATGGTTTGGACATCTAACCAGGATGAAAAATGATCAAATAACATCACAAATTTTCAACCAAAGAAGCTCAGGATATAAGGCAAGAGGAAGACCAAGGAAACGGTGGATTGACGGGGTCTCCGAAACCTGCCAAAAGCATGGCCTCAGAACATCAGATGCTGCCCGCCTTGCTTATGACAGGAACTTGCATCTCCCCACAACGCTTAGCGGCATACGTGGAAGGAAAAAAGTAAAGTAAAGACTCTGCTTTTCAGAAATGACTACAGCAAATCAGCAGGCGAAGAACTGCGCTAGGTCAATAATAAACACACATCATTGTAAACAGAAAAAGCGGGATGTATCTGATGTCAATCACAACTTAGAAAACATGTTAATTGCTTTTTTTCCATGCTAGAACAATTGCTCGACAGCTGTGAACTTCGAACATTCGACGTAAATTCCGACGCCTCAGTTGAATCTGGAGATTTTTGTATTGCTGTTTGTTTTACTGATGTAGTTTTACTGATGTGGTTTTACTGACTGTGGTTTCACTGACTATAATAATGATTCTGTTAAAAACTGAGCTGCTGATTGTGTTGTTGACTGAGTTGTTGATAGTTGAATGTGCAACTGATTGTGTTAGTAATTTTGTTAAGGATTTAGTTGTTGTTACTGATTGCGTTAGTGAGTAGGTACTGCTTACTCTGTTACTAATTAAGCTGCTGCTTGTGAAACTGTATGTGCTAGTGGTTGTGTTACTGATTGAGTTGCTGACTGTGTGCTGCTGACTGTGTAACTGACTGAGTTGTTAATTGTATTACTGTTTGTTTTACTGACTGTTTTAATAATTGTGCTATTTTTTGAATTGTTGATTGAATTAACGATTGAGCTGCTGATTGTATTATGAACTGACGTCATATGCTAGTTTCCAAAGTTTTTTAAACATTTTTTAAAAAATATTGTTCACACCAGTAAGAAATACAATAGTATTCACTGAAGGTAGTCATGAAGCCGAAATGTTATATGTTTGGTATATTTATATGTATTCAGATTAACTATCTATTGTTCATTGACATACACTGTTAAAATATAATTTCAAAAGACAGGAAGAACATTTAAACATTCGTTATTGACATCATTGGATAATTAAAGCATCGAAATGGTTTTGGAGATAATAATGGTTCCGAACTGACATAGGATACTTGTCAAACTACAGACTATCTTTGCAAAGGTAAAATTGAAATCAAGATTATGTCCTTGACAATCTGTTAGTTCTTATCGTCTCATTCTCGATACGTAATAGACATATCTGTGATCACGTAACGGTGGCTGGGAGAGTGGCAGAAGGGATGGGTCTGTCATCACCATCGTCATCATTATTGTCATCATCATCATCATCATCATCATCATTACCACTATCACTACCACCACCACTACCACCATCACTACCATCATCCTCACCACCATCACTACCATCATCATTACCACTATCACTACCACCACCACTACCACCATCACTACCATCATCATTACCACTATCACTACCACCACCACTACCATCCTGTAACAGGTCCTTTGAAAATCGCCGTACTCACACAAGTAAGCTAAAAGCCATAGGTTCTATTGACAACTTTTCCCACCAGGTGAACTTTCATACCTTGGACATCCTCCGTCGTTCCTTTTCTTTCATTTTTTTTTCTGTCTTTCCTCGTGCAAATTCCGTAGTCCCATTGTGAGGGTGAAGGGAAAGAGACACATTGCACCCTAACAAGCATGTCGTAAGCGTAAAAGCCGACTCATTATGAGTATTTCTTCCGAATTCAGAGTGCATCTACCTGCGAGGCATGAAAACAATGGTCTGTATACAAAAGAGCCAGATCCGTAAAACGGATGAGCACAGCTCAAGTTATGAAACAAGACCAAAGTCTAGAAATGGAAGAACATCCAGAACTTTCCCCCGGGGTTTACAGCCGGTGAATGGGAAGAAGTTCTGCCTTGTCTTCCATGTGGTGTGTGCAACGATGTCTCACCAGGCGATCCGTCCGACGCTCTACACTATATGAGAAGGCGAGACGGACTAATAATCCAACTGCTACTGGCACCGATAGACGACCTTCACCGCGGAGATAATCATCATCATGTGCTATGCCTGAAAGCGTAGTCTGTCATGTTTCGCCATCTCACACGATCACCAGAATCAGGGATCAGTTGATGCTTTTGTTTCACCCCATCCATCTGGTGAAGTCATCCAGGTATTGATCTGTTTGCATTCCTCTTGTTGTCTTTCCATCCTTCTTGCCAGTTGTTACCAAGTTCTCGAGTCTAATCCTTCTCTTTATGTGCGACAAAAATATTGACTCCACACGTCTTATTTAGCCACATCAACGTGACTCGGCTGATGATGTGATCAATATCATAGCGGCCGCACTTATTTCCCTAACATGTTATGGTACCAGTTCAGTATATTGCCGATATAGCATGTTTGTTCCTTAGCAACAGCGAGTCCCACTCGTAATTTCAACGCACCGTGATCTAAACCCATTGATGACTGCGTGGGTTTTTATTATGGTATGGGCCGTCGCAGGTCAACCCAGCCTAAAATGGGTACCAGGATGGCTGTCCTGGGGAAGTAAAGACGGCCGGTGTAATGATGACCACATGGGATGCTCTTTCCATACGTCTAAGGCGTAAAAAGGAACCTTATTTTTACTTTTTATGCCAACAGCATCGCTTTGGACTGGCCTAGATATCTTAATGTCTAAACCCTGAGAAGGAAGCATCTGTCCAGTAGATAAGAATTTAGTCTTACAAGTCATTCGTGCCTGTCCGTTACTTGTGTGCTTCTTAATGGGACATTGCTATCTTCAAACAGGGGCGCAGACACGCAGAAATCACTGCTCATACTCTCATACTTGTCTAGGGGCGAAGACGGTAGCAGTGGGCCTCACAGAGTAGCTTTAGCCTTGTTTAAGTGCGCAAAAGCATTAAATATATATATATTATATAATATATATATATATATATATATATATATATATATATATATATATATATATATATATATATATATATATGTATATATAGACGTAAATGAGTAATGAAGATTTTTTTAAAGAAACGAGCTCCGTTATCAGTTTATGTCGCTGTGTCGATGTTAGAAGTGCACCTATTGGGGTAGGGGGGAGGGGACAGTCTCACTTCATATCTGTTATTCTGGGCCATATTCGTGCGGTGAGAACTGATTGGAGCATTAGTGTATAAAAGTTGCCAGGTTGGTCAGCTTGCTAAAGTTTCTCTAGTAGATAACGTTGTGACAGCTTTTTAATCCACAGTTCTACATTTAAATCAGGTAATTACTTGTTTGTACTTCGATTTATCTTTGATAGCATATTTCTTTTCGCTTTATGAAAAGTTTTCTTTTTCTAGCAACGTTACGAATGGTAAAAAGTAAATTAAGGGACCCCCTTTAAGTCAGCAGTGTCTCTGTATGGGTTCCGGAGCCCCAGTTTGGGTGTTAGGGTCGAGGTGAGGGGAGAGAATAGACCCAGTGCCCCGTAAAAGCATGTATTACAAGGCAACTGATTATGGACATTTCCTTTTAAGTCGGAGTACATGTGCCTCAGAGGGAAAGAACCAACAATCTGCATACAAGTAAGCCAAATCTGTAAAACGGATGTGCACACAAAACTCAAGTTCTCGAACAAGAGCAAAGCCCGGAAGTGGACGCGAAGCCAGAACTTTTCGCGGAGTCTACAGCCAGTGAAGTTTAAGGAGAAGAAGTCAGTGGTGCATACGGAATATTATACAAGAATCATTTGTTACAGATGAATGTTCACTCGGTGGGTTAGCTAGTTAGTTAGTTAGTCAGTCAGTCAGTCAGTTAGTTAGTTAGTTAGCTAGCTAGCTAGCTAGTTAGTTAGTTAGTTAGTTAGTTAGTTAGTTAGTTAGTTAGTTAGTTAGTTAGTTAGTTAGTTAGTTAGTTAGTTAGTTAGTTAGTTAGTTAGTTAGTTAGTTAGTTAGTTAGTTAGTTAGTTAGTTAGTTAGTTAGTTAGTTAGTTAGTTAGTTAGTTAGTTAGTTAGTTAGTTAGTTAGTTAGTTAGTTGGTTGGTTAGTTAGTTAGCTAGTTAGTTAGTTAGTTAGTTAGTTAGTCAGTCAGTCAGTCAGTCAGTCAGTTAGTTAGTTAGTTAGTTAGTTAGTTAGTTAGCTAGCTAGCTAGCTAGCTAGCTAGTTAGTTAGTTTGTTAGTTAGTTAGTTAGTTGGTTGGTTGGTTGGTTGGTTGGTTGGTTGGTTGGTTGGTTGGTTGGTTGGTTGGTTGGTTGGTTGGTTGGTTGGTTGGTTGGTTGGTTGGTTGGTTGGTTGGTTGGTTGGTTGGTTGGTTGGTTGGTTGGTTGGTTGGTTAGTTAGTTAGTCAACAACTCATATTCATCGCCAAACCATTAAGTCCATAAGTGATCGGATCCCCTCCTCAGTAAATCGTACAGTGTGTACCGGATGGCAACACCAGCTCTGTGTTAGTTTCTCATTCTTCTTTGACTTCCAACACAGTGTTTTGCAAATAAATGACGAGGTTCGCCGTATTACTGCCCAGCACACTGGCAACCATGAACTCCTTTTAGCTACAGCAAAAAGATAGAAAATGCGACGATAGGGACATGTAATCAGATCCAACAGTCTCTCAGAAACAATACTACAGGACTCAGTAGAGGGAAAGAGAAGAAGAGGAAGACCAAGAAAGCCCTGGATACAGAACCTGACTGATTGGACAGGCCTTAGGCATGCAACCATGAAGTCCATCGCATCTGATCATCAAAGGTGGAGGGAACTAATCAAACATTCAACAGCAACTGGTGACCCAGTGACATTCAGTGTTACATAACGACGTTGAACCGGCTGAAACATTATATACTACTGACAATGTACTGATGATCATCCCAGTTTAAATAACAACAAGCATATGTCCTCAGACAACAACAATGAATTCTGTACTCCTGTCATTGGTGGTTCTCCTGGCTTTAACCAACATGTCCACGGCTATCGTCTGCACACCAGCTCTGTGCGAAGGCGCCAAATGCACCACGTACACAGAAGAAAACTGCGCCGGCAAGGTAGTGGAGAAGGGCGGGTTCTGTGGTTGCTGCGACGCCTGCTATGGTGTTTTGAGTAAGTATCTTAGTCTTATCATTTTGGTTGTTATCTGTTTCTTTTTTTCTTTTACTTCCCCGTTCACCTAAGTAAAGTGTTGTTGTTGCGTGAATGAGTGAGTGGAAGAGAGACACACACAGAGAGAGAGAGAGAGAGAGAGAGAGAGAGAGAGAGAGAGAGAGAGAGAGAGAGAGAGAGAGACATAAACAGAGACACAAACAAGAGACAGAGGGATGTGTAAGGATCTTCAGTGTGTTCTTTATATTGCGTCATGTAAGTTTGTTTTCATTTCTCCGAGGTTGCTCCTGATTACCTTCGTTCCATCTTTTGCACTTTCAAGGAATATATTTTTTTTTATCTGCCTCCAACAAAGCTCCCTATTGGAATTTACGAGCTTCATCAATTTCGGTGTAGTATCACCCACTTAAATTTACTAGTCATCCAAATCAGTTGCCCAAGATGTAGCTATGACAACCATTGGTGATGTATGTAAAGAGATAGTATCCAAGAATTTAGGGTCATCCAAATGAGGTAGCTGTCCCATTCTTGGGGTACTACCCATCTTGTCTTGACCCAGAACCCAATAATATTTCAGACGCGATGCTGCTGATTAACAAGGTTTATTCGATATTTAAATCCTAACAAGAAAATGCAAATACATGTATCTTATGGACAACATGAAATCAAATTAAAATTGTCGAAATGAATTTTTTGTTCTCCAGACAAAGGAGATGACTGCGGCCCATATCCCTTGTTGGGAGTTCCTAGATACGCCGTTTGTGCTGATGGCCTTACCTGTAGTGACCTCACCGGCAAGTGTGTAGCTTAAAGAAACGCCTAAGACATGTAGGTGAGTATTTTTTAGCAGGTAATATACTGTCCACTTGTATTGCTTCCAGCAAAGAACGCTCAGTCTTCTTTCCAACCCTGCACACAAGCTCCTGTCATGTTGAAGTTGTGGTGATATTAGGTACTATTGGTGGATGGTAGTTGATTGGACTGTGAATCGTTTGCCTGACTTCCAGGGAGGTTTCATCTTGTGTCAGGAAGGAACTTAGAATTAGTATTCATCTTAAGAGTCACACCCCAAGCTCAATTTATTTCCCTCCACCCTTCTCAGTCACTCAGAGGATAGCTCTAAGGAAAAGGAGACAGTTCCCTCTTCATTTATCTCTGTCTGTCAGTCAGTACAAGAGATAGGAGACAAGGTCCATAGCGGAGATAGACCTAATACACATAGATCATCCTCTCCACCTATATATCTGCACTTGCAGACACACATTCTATCTCGTTCTTACATATATATTTTACACCTCTACAATCTGCCCACTGCACACACTGTGTTGTTGTGCTAAAATTAACCTCTTACGTCACAGTGTCCTGCCGGCTGAAGTGTGACCCAGTTAAATATGTCCTCTAATCGACCCAAACTCTGTCGGTTCGTTAAAGAATAATTAGCTTGCTAGGTTTAAATTATTTATAATATTATTGGGTCAGGTAGGGTACAAACTATCAGCTTGCGAAGGGAAAGGTTTGATTTCAGGGGCCCTGAGTGTCTGGACATCAAGAACGGCCTAGTTCTGTGCTGCCACATAGCTGAATCTTTCCTCCCGGCAGCAGCAGCTAACTTTATAGAGACATATATCATGGTACTCGTAAACTATATTCAACTTACCCAAGCTTAGGAATCCCTTAAAGATTAAACTGGTATTTTGAATGCGCCAAGATTTAATCAGAGAGGTGAAATACTTCTAGACGCCTAGGAAGTCTGGCAAAGAATGACCCCGCCTGATCTCGCTTGACGTCTCTAGAAAGAAGTCCCGTATTAGTACGCCAAGGAATTGAAAGGTTTCCATGGATTCTGAATATTATTACAGAAAATATCTATTCCACAGTTGCAAGTTTGAAAATGTAGACTTTCCAAAACAACTAGACGGTATAGAAATATCTATTCTACCAGATAGAGGTATAAATCGATATGAGGGACTATATACCCACCGGACGGGTCTTAATTTGAAATTTGACCTGCCCGCTAGGGGCGTCAACGTCACGAATAGTCTAATGCTCAGGGTTTGGTTGATTCACTTTACGACAATCACAAATAATCATTGAGCTGTAAAAGACAATCAAAGCAATGTTGCACTGTTGTGAATTTGAGCAAAGAGGACAAACAGTAGACTGCACAATTTATTGCCTTATGGCATATTTGGCTGTATCTGGCCAGGTGCATACAACAGTAACAACTAATTAAAAAGTTGGGCAAATTTAAAAAAGAAATATGACGAAGAAAGAAAATACAAAACCGATACATTAAAAAATTATTTCACTAGAGTAAACGTAAGGTGAAAAGCATGTCCTTTAACAGTATGTAATGGATCTTATTTCGGTTCAAACGATCTATTTATTGGCTTCATTTAATCAATAGTTACTGTTGTATACTGCTATAGAAAGATTCTCCGAATATCTTCGACAAAGAAGATGGGAAATACTGACATCTTGAAAGTTCTCAACATCAAGGAAGATTGGCTAATAAGCAGCATCTTGTCTCGGAAGCTGAAAAATTCTGGTCATATCCAGCACCACGGCGGATTGGAAAAAAAATTATAGCAGAAGGCATGGTACCATTATGAAAGTACATGACGTGGGAGAGTTGGCGAGAGACCAAGTTTCTTTCAGCCAGACCGTGACGAGAGCGACGTTCTGCAATGGACCTGCTAAATGATTAAAATGAGTATTGTATACACCTATGGATGACTTGTTTAAATTGCCTTATTTATTTATTTTTGCTTATTTAATTTTCGAGAAGAAAACTGAAACGTAGAAGACCAACTGAAATTTTGTTTGTGTTTATTGAATATTCCATGGAACAAAAACTCAACCGTAGAAGATTACTTTAAAATATTTCATTTCTTTTATTCGTATTTGTTTAATTTTCTAGAAAAAAATATTCAACCATAAAGACTAATTTAAATTATTGTATGTATTGGCATATTTGATATGTTTCGGAAGATTTAATTATTTAATTTTTTTTTTTTTTTTTTTTTTTTTTTTTTTTTTTTTTTTGTTTCCAGAAGAAAATGTAATGACCAGACAAGAGTACCACGGAAACCATCGAACTTCAGAGGCAAGGAAAAAAAAATTCAAAACATTTCATGAAAGCTAATGAGCCAGGGATGACAAGGAAACAGACAGTAAAAAAAAAAAAAAAAAACTAATCGTGAAAATAACATCGAAATAAAAGATTGAAACATTATGATACTAAATAACACTAATCTGTGTAAGAAACACATCTTATACTTCCAAAGGTATTGTGATAAAGTTTGTTGGTTCAAGTCATTGTTGAAAACTAACTGATTTAAGATGTTTGCTGTCAAGAAACATAACATCTGCGAAATTAATTGTAATAGGTCGAAGAATTAAACATTCTAATGAGCAGATGTGTTTTCTCTTTTGTGTGTGCGCTTGTGCGTGTTCGCATGCGCACTTGTGTGTGCATGTATGCTGAGTTGAGTCAAGAATTGACATCATAGCAATCGGGGCACTCCCATGCGACCTCCATCCTCAGCCAGCGTTCCAATTCTGATGGTACCGGTCACAATCTGGTTGTATGTCCTTCTTGCCTTTTCTCTTAGTGTAGTGAGCCGGTCAGATCCTCTGGTTGCACCCAGGTGCCTTATTTTCTCCAGGCCACAATAATCTTTCTATACTGATTCTATTACTTGTTCCCAAAGGGCATTGACCACATCTGCTTTGTCATGCATCAATTCACAACCAAGTGGTGCAAATCCAGCCAATATGTCTGCCTGTTCAATCCCCACCACACTAGCATGGCCAGGAGAAAAGATCCAAAGTATGCTCCCTACCCGTGACCTTTCCAGTGAAGCTTGCAACACTGCTCGAAGCATCACTGTTTTTACCTTTCTCAGCATGCCTTTAGAGTCTGTTACAACTACGATATGTTTATGCATCTTGTTCTCTAGCTATCGGAGAGCTGCAGTGACGGCCTCCACCTCCTTTCGTTTGCTAGATGTTGTGTATGTGCGTGTGTTTGAAGTGTGTCTAACCTGGGCACCATATTACTGGGAATCTAGGAATAACTTGAACATACAAAGTTTTATCACTTCGATTTTTTTAAAGTGTCAAGTAAATGCTGTTTTGATTTAAAAAAAAAAAAACACATTAAGTTAAATTACACATGTTCAATCAAGCCAGATGTATTTAATTCGAATAGTTATAATGACGGCTGGCATTGCGCGTTTTGTCGTGCCAGGAAATGTTCGCTTTTTATGCCATACGGAGTTTCGTCTACTTGGTGTATCTAATATAAAATTAGCGAATCAGCAATGTGCACACGCAGACTGGCACCTGAGACAACAAAACACGTTCTCCAAAACTATCCCAAATACAACATATCAAGACAAAACTTCTGGCCAAAAGCAACACTGGTGGAAGCCAAACTTTAACAGGTCGCTGAGTGAATTACAAAAGACAAATGAATTCAGACAACTTGGCAGATACAGATAATCTATTTAAAGCAGAGGAAAGAAAAAGAAGAAGAACAACTTGATGTTGATAGTGTTATCACACAGCTCCTGTCAAAATGACGATCTGAAACATTCAAAACTTCTGTGTCATCGAAAAGCACATACATTATTAGTACCTCTTCGATGAAAGTAGCAGTTAAAACAGATCAGAAGTTTCACAGCTAACTATTGTTATAAACAAATATTTTCTACGACTAAAAACAATAAACCTCCCTATCCCCATAATGAACTGAAGATGTCATTTCTTACTATTAATTTTTATAATTACTCTGTTTAAAAAATAAAAAAACAATTTAGTAATTGTGACTACGAAGAAAACAGTATCGCCCAAATGACAAGATGGAAGTTAATGTTACAGGTGTGAAGCAAGTCTTGTGTTTTCCGGTGCTAAGTTCTTGATAACAACATAACATAGACGCTGGGACATGGAGAGCCCAGGCAACTTGGCGCCCCCCCCCCCCCCCCCCCCCCATCCTAAATGTTTTGTGGGGCCTGAGCAACCGAATAATTTTTAAAGATACTGAAGGGAGGCCCACCTCTCATCGGCTAGAAAATGTGCTAAGGGACTAGGTTGTTACCCCAACCTGGTTATATTTCTAAGTATTTTTTTATACATTTCATATTTAACTATGTTTATTTGAATTTCAGTGTATTATTAGCACTTGAACAAGGTTTAAGCCCAATGAACATCGACAATATACAATTATAAGGAAACTGAGGACCTCCGCTCACCCCCACTCAGAGATTTATTGGTGGTGGCGTGAAAAATATATACACTTTTTTTTGTACCAGCAGTTCTTAGTTACTCCAAAGACAACAAACAGTTGTTCTAGTTAGTACGTTGCACAATTTATTTCTTGGCATATTTCGTTTCTTTAGATCTTGTGTTCGTAACTTTCAGGTGGTGACTTATGGGTGTGAATTGTGGACTCTTACCCAACAAGTGTGTTTTATAATTGAATTGTTACACAATTCTTAGAAAACCTCCACCAAAAAGAAGAAAAACATTGAGATCTTATATGGTCTGAACATCCAGGAGAACTGAGTCATAAACAGCATACCGTCCCGAAATCTGAGCTGTTTTGACCATTTTAAACGTCAAGCCCGGCTCTCTAGCGTAATTGGCTAAACCGGATTGCGCGGTGACCGGGTAACGAACTCCGTGTGGTCCGGGTTCACTCCCGGGGGTAGGTAGAAAAGCCACATTACTACCAGATTTACGGTATTTACAATGGAATCAAGGCCGAAAGGTTGCGATATCCATAATACAGAGCCA